AAACGCATATTGACAAGAGACTCTGTGTCTATGTGTCTGTGGTTCGCACTTTTTGTCACCCACTTCCAATTCGAGAACCAGAAATATTAGAAGGCTGAAACTTCGGGGCTATGTGCCCACCAACCTGTGCAACCCTCCATTTTAATATCATCACCCACGTACGTTTGGGCGCTACATACGGAGGCCTTAAAAAAATATGCAAGTTTCTTGGCGGGTAAGCTATCTCGGTAACCGGAGAAGATAGAGATCTGAAACTTAGCAGGGACATTCTCTATGCATCCGCGGGCTAAAGATTTCAAATTCAGCCCCTAGATATCCGTAATTCACAAACACAAGCACGTAGAGATTTGAGCGGGAAAATTGCTAACTTGGTAACCGGAAAAGTTGGAAGGCTGGAATTTTAAGGGAATGTTCCCTGTTCACGTACAATTTAGGTGCTATAAATTCAGCCGTCGGATACATATGGTACTTACGCACGAGAAAGTGAAAGTTTTGGTGGAAAAATTGCGAACTCCGGAACGAGAAAAGCTATGAGGCTGATTTTTGATGAATGTCCCTTACTCATTTGCGACTGAAAGGAGTCTTTTCGCGCACCAGCGACCTTCCATTTCTCGGGTCATTGATGCCGGCATCTACAACTGCCATGCCACATAGTTGCACATTTAACTTCCTGAACTTCAAGGGCCAGTATATAACAAATTCTAGCTACTGTGATTCCTTGCGACCTTGCTATCTCCGAAATAGTGCAAAAACGCATAATTGCACCGGCACGCTGATGTGTTCTAGTCTGGGTTAGCTTCTGCGCTTTTAAAGACTTAACCAAATGTTCATTTTATCCATTTTGCCACCGTGCGCGATCACTTCGTAGATTACGCTAATGTCTCAAAAGCCTGCTGCGCACAGTTAGTTTGACCCTTAGACTATGGTGCCTAACATGCGCTTCCTTTGCTCTTGCTATTAGTCTGAGCTTTTTCCAGTCCCTTCAAAACAGTGAGTTTGGGATTTTTTTTTTCTTGTTCTACTCAGTACAACTAATATAAAGTTTTTCTCTGATGAAAAAAATGCAAGTTTTAAACATTTCATCTTATTGAAAACTGAGAATTTGGCATGTTTTCCATTTAGGGACAAAACAGTACAGAAAACTGAAATTTAGGGCATGTTTCCTGCCCACGTGTAACTCCGACAGTCTAATTCTGCTTTAACATGTGTAGTTAGAAAATGCACAATTATTATGCCTTTTTTACTGTGCGACAGCTTCACAAAGCTCAAACTGTCACGAACCTGTCTGTTTGTTTCTGTGTGTGTGTGTCCGAGTGCATTTTATCAGCAATATTCAACTCGGGATTTACGAAGGCTAGGAAATTGAAAATTTACAGGAATGTTCCCCGCCCACATGTGACCCTGCAAGTTTAATTTTAGCCTTCCTTTACGTCTGGGTACCACATACGGTCCCATTAAGGTTTTGGCACTGAAACTAACAACTAGGGAACTGAGGAAATTAGAAGGCTGAGATTTTGGGGGAAATGTTTTTTAATCGTCTTTAGTCTTGTAAACTCAAATTCAGCTTTATCATATGCCTGGAAACGACGTACGAACATGTGAAAGTTTTAGCGCCGAAATTAGTAACTCGGGAAGCCACAAAAGCAGCGAAACTTAGATCTTAGGATAATGTCCTTCGTCCACATATGATCTCGCAAAATTAATTCTAGCCCTCAAGCGCTCCTGGGTCTCACGTACAACCACGTGAAACTTTTGGCGCCGATATTAATAATTCAGGAATCAGAAAAGCTAATAAGCTGAAGTTTATGGAGATTCCTTCACAGCAAGTGATTTTGTAAAATTAAATTCAGCCTCCGGGTGTGTTCTGCTTTCATGTACGGCCACATGAAAATTTTGACGTTAAAATTAATAGCTCGTGCACCACAAAATCTAGGAAAATAGATTTTTAAAGTAATATTCCAATCCCATACCCGACTTCAGAAATTTAAATTTGGGCCCATTTACGCTTAAGCCTTATATATGGAAAAATAGGAGTTTTGGTGTGAAATTTGCCGTCTCGCCGGTCGGCAAGGTGGAATACTGAAAATTTACTGTGATGCTTCTTCTGAATGCACAACCTTGGAATTCTAAACTCAGCTTTTAGTCATGCCTGTTTCTAAAATTTAATGCGGGGAGTTTTTAATTCGGAAAC